AGTAATCGAACATTACAACAAGGACGTGACAAAAAATACACAACAAAATAGTAAATGTCTCTTCCGACGCGCGTGACAATGTTTTTTGTTTGCTAAATTGGTCACTTTGAAAGGCTAAAACAAACCTATTGATTATACCCAGTATTCAGTTGGAAAAACTCAACTTTGCAAACAAAAGCGTCGTCACGCTAGTCGGAAGAGGCATTTACTATTTTGTTGTGTATTTTTTGTCACGTCATTCGAGCAAAGCATCAATAACAGTCTTAAATAGATAAAAGAAAGAAGGAACAGTCTAGCTTATCGCGAAAACTGTCTCATTTTTCTCAGCAGGTTATCTGAAAAAGACTTCTGAATACGACAAACAAAGCAGTGACATCAACATTACAGTCATCTAGCTGAATTGTTTTGTTATAATAAGTTTAATGTATTAATGCAACAAAAGATAAAATATTTACATGTTTTTGTATTCGAAAAAATTTCTTTGTCAAACACTGTCATTATCAATAATAATAGTTATAATTTTAATTCATGTCCACAGCCGATTTCGATTAACTCACGAAATAGATTCTGGCCTAGAAAGAGTTAGAATGCTTTTGCAAGCTTTACATAATCCCATCTCGGCTAGTTATTATGATATGGCGATGAAACAACAGTCGATGCAAAGAGCTGAATGGTACGGTAGTGACTTCAAATTCAAATGGTTATTCTCAACATCATTTAAAAGCTACAATATCATGATGGATCGCCATTTTTATTTTCAATATTATGCTGCACTACGTCATCCAAATGTCGAAGCTATCTTATGGGGAAGAGGCTTTAAAGGTTAGGTCCCTGTTTACATTCGCAGAATTTCTCTACACCTTCCGTACATCATACTGTGTAAGGCGCAGAAATTCAAACTTTCTCCACCAAGATATTTGTCATTTATTTGTACATCATTGAATCGCACTCGTCAAACTGATTCAGAATGTGTTTTAACCTTTCAAAGTGATCAAATTTCGCTGAGTGAAAAGCACTGAGTTTTCGAAAAAAATGATTTTTGGAACACTGTTTGTGTTTTGAAGGTTCGAAACTGAGTTTTCTTTATTGATCACAAAAAACTGAATAGAAACATCTGATTTTGATACTGTTAGCATATAACATAGTCAAAAACGTTTTCGATCCGTCTCTGGATCCAAAAGCGACTGCGTCCAGGCTGCGAACCTATCAAGTTTTCTTGGTTAACAGATATAAGAACTATTTATACTTCATTCGCCTCGTGACGCCTTCAGCAATAAGAAGAAGAACATACCTATACCGAAAACCGGTGTAGGGTGAAGATCAGGAAAAATGAGAAACCAAAAAAGAAGGAGGGACTTTTAAAGTCTTGAATTTGATTGTGTTCAGGAGAGCGCAAAAGTTTTATGGTTTTTTTTTCATGTTCACTCGTCGTAAAACCATCAGTGATAAGGTGCATCATCCGCGTACCACCACCACACCACACATGGATCTGATTTCGGGGGTATCCATCATTTTTCCAAATAGCCGTAATTTAACCTTTTCGGTGATTTGCGAATATTTTTTTAATTTAATTCATCCTAATCTCATGTCTCTCACACCAATCCTTGATACACTGGAGTTTTTTTAACTACTTTTTTCATCACAAGCTCGTCGATGAATTTTTACACCCCGTTGATTTTTACATACCTGATCACAGTTAGGACAGATATGTGTCCACTTCGGTCGATATTAGTGGAGTTTGACTAGCTGCGGTACTGGTTGTGTTAACTTGGCTACATCGAGCCAGCTCTTCTGCTCGTCACCAATTTGCTAGTTCCTTGTATTCATGTACAAGTTTTTGAATATTCGAATGTACGCACAGTGGGCAACTAAGCGGACATTAGGCCAAAAAGTCGATTTTATCTATCTTGAAATACAAATAGTGCAAAATGTAGCTCTTGAAATTCTCTATCGAATGGTGTATAAACGTCTATTGTGAA